CTCTCTCTCTCTCTCTCTCTCTCTCTCTCTCTCTCTCTCTCTCTCTCTCTCTCTCTGTGTCAGATGCTGCTTAGTGTTTGAAGTCTCTGCAGGGAATGTTAACACGTTTCTCAGGAATGTGGAGCTCGTGGAAAATTCTCACTGACACACACACACACACACACACACACACACAGAGCCAGAGACACTGCTGCCCCCTGGTGGAGAAGGAGAACAGCTGCAGCTTTGGACATACAGTCAGAGGATGTGTAGTGTGGAAAGCGAGATGGGTCTGACCGCAGATTTACACCCACAGTTTCACTCCAGCGGTTTGAGGCCAGTGGAGCTCATGCGCAGCAGGACAACGCGACTGTGCCATGTAAACAAAGTCCATAAAGGAAAGTCGAGCGTTACGAGCGTCTCACTCTTTTTTCAACCAGTGGCCGGTCTCCTCATTCCTAACGTCTCTGATGTAAACAGCGACCGTTTGTGCTGGTTGGGTTCAGGGAGGGATAACCAGTTAAACCATAAACCAAAACACATTACAGAACCATCAGAAACAAAAAGAAACACTTAATGGTTTTTCAGCTGGGATATGTTCAAAAACTGCACATGTAATGTAATTGTACACATAAAGCCCCGTATTAAGGGTAAGTTATTGAGCTGTACGTCTACATAACCCATTAGTTTACCCAGAGACACATCAGCTTTAGTTCCTGTAATATTGACCCTGTGAATCTCTATATGCGTTCAAACCAAAGTCTGTTTTAGCCTACAGCTTTAAATATAACGTTAGTTCAGCGCAAATTTATCACAAATTTATTGGAAACTCACAGAAAACAACTGAAATGTTGATTCGCCTAAAATCGCTAAGAAAAATCAAAACAAGTTTCGGCGCATGAGCTGAATGAGACTGGAGTGAACCTGCATCTCTGCAAACAGATATTATTGAAAACTGCCACTCAGTAATGCCTTCCAGATTTGGACAGACACTAGAGGGCGCTAGCGAACCAGTCAGCACTCAGTAGCAGTGATGCCAACCAATCAGCACTCAGTAGCAGTAATGCTAACCAGTCAGCGCTCAGTAGCAGTAATGCCAACCAGTCAGCGCTCAGTAGCAGTAATGCTAACCAGTCAGCGCTCAGTAGCAGTAATGCTAACCAGTCAGCGCTCAGTAGCAGTAATGCTAACCAGTCAGCGCTCAGTAGCAGTAACGCTAACCAATCAGCACTCAGTAGCAGTAACGCTAACCAGTCAGCACTCAGTAGCAGTAACACTAACCAATCAGCGCTCAGTAGCGGTAATGCTGACCAATCAGCACTCAGTAGCAGTAAATCGTAAAACTCTGATGAGAAGTTCAGTTTCAGTGTTAAAGGCCCTTTAAAATTACTCTCTAATCTACACCCTTAAAAAAGATGGTTCTTCAAGGGTTCTTTAGTAAGGACAGTGGTTCTATATAGATCCATCAACACTCAAAGAACTCTTTGCTGAAATGGTTCTTTGCATGGTGAGAGGGTTCTTCAGATTGATGGAGAATGTGCTGTAGATGGTTCTATATAACACCAAAAAGGGTTCTACTGTTAACAAAAACATAACAAATAGAAAAATATAAACAAAATATAGAACCATCTACAGCACATTCTCCATCAGTCTGAAGAACCCTCTCACCATGGTTCTACATAGCACCATTGTCTGTACTAAAGGATCCTTGAAGAACCATCTTTTTAAGAGTGTATGTTTAAATTATGTTTATTATATAGATGTAGTTCTAGGTCAGGTTCTGTGTGTCAGTGGTGTTACAGTAACCTAAATAGTCCCGTTAATTTCCTCTTTATCCGTTTATCTGAATTAGAGGATTCTGGTACTGGCGCAGACCCACACAGACTGGAGGAATGTGTTATCTGGAACCGCGTGTTCTGTGTTGTTGATTCTGCGTGTGTGACCCAGATTAGTGAGGAACGTGGATTATGAGCAGGCGTGTTTTGAAGTAAAGCAGAGTGAAAAACAACAAAGGAGCTCCAACTTTTCTGCCACTGTAATTGTGGCCACATGTTTTTACAGCACATGCAGCTCATTAGCCTAAAGCCTTGTGTGTGTGTGTGTGTGTGTGTGTGTGTGTGTGTGCGTGTGTGTGTGTGTGTGTGTGTGTGTGTGTGAGATCAAATTTCATCACAAAAACTAATGATTAATACTCATTGTGCTGCTATAAATGTCCTTTCTGTCTTAAATCCACCTTAAATCTGAGATTTATATATATATATATATATGTACACACCGATCAGGCGTAACATCATGACCACCTCCTTGTTTCTACACTCATTGTCCATTTTATCAGCTCCACTTACTATATAGGTGCACTTTGTAGTTCTACAGTTACAGACTGTAGTCCATCTGTTTCTCTGATACTTTGTTAGCCCCCTTTTACCCTGTTCTTCAGTGGTCGGGACCCCCATGGACCCTCACAGAGCAGGTACTATTTGGGTGGTGGATCATTCTCAGCACTGCAGTAACACTGACCTGGTGGTGGTGTGTTAGTGTGTGTTGTGCTGGTCTGAGTGGATCAGACACAGCAGTGCTGCTGGAGTTTTTAAACACTGTGTCCACTCACTGTCCACCTTGTAGATGTAAAGTGCACTGATAAAAAACACTGATAGACGTCAGTCACTACTGAGCTGAGCTGTTTAAGTCTGTCTGTGTGAGTGTCGTTCCTGTTTTGTGTAAAATATCAGACAGACAGACGGACGGACAGACAGACAGACTCTGCAGGAGACCAACTTACTCTCTTTTCCAGATCTTTGTCTGTTTGTAGTGAAGCTAAAATCCCACACACATTCCTACTGTCTCCTGAGAACAGCCCCTCTCTCTCCTTTCTCTCTCCCTTTTTCTTCCTGTATTTTCTTTCTCACTCACTCTCTCACCCTCTCTCTCTTTTCTTTCTCTCACTCACTCTCTCACTCTCTCACTTTTCTCCCTCTTTTCTTTTTCTCTCTCTCTCACTCTCTCTCTCTTTCTTTTCTGCCTCTTTTCTGTCTCTCTCTCTGTCTTTCTTTCTCTCTCTCATTTCTCTCTCTTTTCTGTCTCTCTCTCTATGCAGTGCTTTATTAGCATGACTGTTATAAACTTGCTTATTTGTCATCAAAGCATTTAACAATAAACATAAATAAGAGAATAAAAATGAAAGAATAAACTGATACAGAACAACAGAAAATCAATTATTTACAGAGTTATTATTCGTCTGTGAGAGGAGCGATTATGACACGGTAGATGTTATAATACGTTTGGGGACCACACCACACATTAATACTGCATTACATGTTTTATGGGTTATTTATAGATTCACATAAAGATCATAAAACATCACAGAAATAAAGATTCTACCGAACACATTTGGGACTTTAGACTAAAATCTCTGAGTGACTCTAAACCGTAATTATGTTTATTTAATTAAAACTAAAGATGGAATATTCCATTCTGTCACTACCAAAACAATCATAACTACCCAAACTGTACCAAATGTTTCAGTAGTGTCTGTCTCAGTAGTGTCTGTTTCAGTAGTGACTGTCTCAGGAGTGTCTGTCTCAGTAGTGACTGTTTCAGAAGTGACTGTCTCAGTAGTGACTGTTTCAGTAGTGTCTGTCTCAGTAGTGCCTGTTTCAGAAGTGACTGTCTCAGTAGTGACTGTCTCAGTAGTGTCTGTTTCAGTAGTGTCTGTTTCAGTAGTGTCTGTCTCAGTAGTGTCTGTTTCAGTAGTGTCTGTCTCAGTAGTGTCTGTCTCAGTAGTGTCTGTTTCAGTAGTGTCTGTTTCAGTAGTGTCTGTCTCAGTAGTGTCTGTCTCAGTAGTGACTGTTTCAGTAGTGACTGTTTCAGTAGTGTCTGTCTCAGTAGTGACTGTTTCAGTAGTGACTGTTTCAGTAGTGTCTGTCTCAGTAGTGCCTGTTTCAGAAGTGACTGTCTCAGTAGTGACTGTTTCAGTAGTGTCTGTTTCAGTAGTGTCTGTTTCAGTAGTGACTGTCTCAGTAGTGTCTGTTTCAGTAGTGTCTGTTTCAGTAGTGTCTGTTTCAGTGGTGACTGTCTCAGTAGTGTCTGTTTCAGTAGTGTCTGTTTCAGTGGTGTCTGTTTCAGTGGTGACTGTTTCAGTAGTGACTGTTTCAGTAGTGACTGTTTCAGTAGTGACTGTTTCAGTAGTGTCTGTTTCAGTGACAATTTTAGCTCATTCTGAGCTCAGAAACTCAGCAGTTCATGACCAGCAAACACAGCTTTGAACAGCTGTTCACACAGAAAATCATCATATTTTACATTAAAACACTAAAAAGTGCTGAACTGCAGAAAATCTGACGGTTCTTAATGTTCCGCACTGATTTTCAGAGTTTGGGACAGATTTACTTCAAAACAATGGGATCTACCTGCTCACCATGTGGCCATGAGGGACAGGGATGCAGCCTCACTTCCTGCTCTAAAATGCAGGGGCGTGGCTAAAATAAGACTCCGCCTATAGACTGAAACGGTCGGTTGTGTGATGAGCATTTTTTGATGAAAAATGTAAATCTTTCAACTTCACTTTAAAAGGCATCAAAGAGATCTTAGAGCTTAAAGTTTAGGGGTTCAGGGTTTGGGACAGATTTCCGATAGAACCCTATAAATGATGATTTTGTGTATATTTAGCTTATTACTGTCTCTATTAATGTCTCGGGTTTAAACAGATCAGAACAGAATCCTTGTTAATATCTAAGATCTGAACACTTGATTTGATTTTTTTTTTTATTTTCTTACTGTGGAAGTGCATTTTGAATTAATTCGGTACAGAAGTCCATATATTATCATTGTCTTTACTAAAAACCCTTAATGAATAATTTTTAGGCTGTACAGGAAATAATTACAAATATTTACATGTGTGATGGATTTATATTTTCCTCTAAATAAACCTGATCAGGCTTTAATATGGTCACATTTTGCAGGGAGAGTTTGCTGCTCTTGCTCTGTTGAATCTTCTGAATATAATAAACTGTATTTGTGCTCTGCAGGTGACGTACCTGGGCAAGGTGACGATCTCTGGCACCCAGTTCCTCTCAGGCTGCACAGAGTCTGCCGTGGTGGGATTATGGGATATGAAGCGCTCCTCCGTCGCTCTGGATGACTCCGTCGCCCCTAGCAATGCCGTCCTAGAGATCCGCCCGTTCCAGGTGCGTCTGCATCACCTGGATGGGCGGGGCGAGGCCACGGTCGCCATGGACACCTTCCAGGTGGCTCGGATTGCGTACTGCACAGCGGACCACGAGGTCAGCCCCAACGTGTTCGCCTGGATTTACCGGCAGATTAACGACGATCTGACGTTCCAGATGGACTGCCACGCCGTGGAGTGCGAGAGCAAGTTAGTGGCCAAAAAGTTAGCGCACTCCATGATGGAGGCCTTCAAGAAGACGTTCCACAGCATGCGGAGCGACGGGCGCATCCACAAGAGCGGATCCTCGGACGAGTTTCCAGAAGACTCCTCCACCCCCGACGACGGCTGAGGTGGAGGCCAGGGAGGCGGGGCCTATTTAGAAGGGGTGTGGCTGGGGGAATGGGTGGGGCTTAGCGGTCGCCCCACCTCTTTCTCTTTCTTTGCCCTCTCTTTCTGTCTCTGATGAAGCATTAATAAAAATAAAAGTTCTAAAAAATCTGACGGTTGAAGGACAGTAATAATCTAAAGCTGGAAGGAGGGCATTGTAGTCTAAAACAAACTGAAAATCCAGAAAAGACCAAGAGAAAAATCACCAGGAGCTTCTATCTGCCTTTCTAGATCACAGCTGACAGCTGCATCATGGCCATGTTACACAAGCACCTAAACTCATTATCAGACTTTTATTATGAAGGTACGGCACATTTTTATTGTTCTAGACCATCGTGATGGAGCGTTCTTCTAGACCATTGTGATGGACTTTTGTTTGGGGACATCACTATGGAAACTTGTTCTAGAAGATTCTGATAGAACTTTGCTCTGTTACATCACTATGGAACATTGCTTTGGAAGATTGTTCTAGAGCATCAATTTGAAACCTTTTTCTAGAACATTACCGAAACATTATTTTACATCATCATCTTGGTACATTGTTCTAGAACATCACTACGGAGCGTTGTTGTTGATTTCTGGAAGATCCCGATGGAACACGGTTGTAGAAGATCGTACTGAAACTTCTTTCCAGAAGGCTGTGATGGAGGGATCACCATTCAAGATTATGAAGCAACTTCATTCTAGAACATCGTTAATGGCATTCTGGAGCATTGTCTCTACAGCATCGTGATGGAGCTTTGTTCCAGAACATTGTGATGTAGCTTTGTTCTAGAACATCATTACGGGACACTGAATGATGCAGTGGAACTTTCTTCCAGGAGATTGTGGCGGACCTTTCTTGAAAACATCACGGAGCACGGCTCTAGAAGATCGGAAAGGAACTTTGTTCTTGAATCTTGTGATGGAAGATTTTTAAAAAGCGAAAAACATCATGTTGGATAACTGTTCTAGAACATTATTATGGGGCATTGTTCTAGAAGATGTTGATGGATCTAGATGCTCTCCTCCACCTGAAAGCTGCTGAGAGTTGTGGTCACTCTTAAGGGGGGCGGAGCTTTTCTCTTCTTCCTGTCCCTTTTCTTCTCTTTAGCCAGTCAAAATCTCAAAGTATTGCAGTGTTTTTGTTTAGAACCTCAAAAATTCAGATCATCTTTTTGTAGTGATGAAGTCTAGTGCCTCTGAATGAAATGCAGAGAACGTTTTATTTGGTTTCGTTTCGCTGTCTGGAACAGGCAGCTGTCCCTAGAACGTTCCCTCAGCTTTTACCAGGCCATAATTAAGCCACCCTCACTGAGTGAGCTTCACTTTTTGTGTTGTTTTTCTAAGAATCCCAGAAGTCTGAGTGATATTTGTACTGTCTGTCTGTCTGTCTGTCTGTCTGCGGACCATGAGCCTTCTCACATCTATACGGAACGGGTTCTCAACTACAGTATTACCTAGTCCTGTGTGTGTGCTTGAGGAACATCTCAGTGAGAGTGTTTGTGTTCCACCCAGCTAGATGAACATCTGTCCAGGAACCTGTAGGTACACCCTTAAAATCTTAAGGTTCATAAACGGTTCTTGGATGATTGGTTTTAGAACAAAGACTTTAAATTGGTCGAGTCTCAAAATGTTACAAAGAACCATTGACAGGTTCTTCCTTACAGTCCACATTCCTGCTCCATCCCCGTGCTGGGAGTTGGGATCGAGCACAAATGTGGTTTGAGAACCACAGCTTTAGGAAACCAGCAGTGGTTCTTCTTGATCATTGCGCCAAAGAACCCTTTCTGGCCCGGTCTTGTTTTAAGCGTGTACTCCAGCCTGCAGGACCTGGCTGTGTTTGCTCCTTTAAATCGTTGTGCTGCTTTTGTAGTAAGGGTGGGGGGGGGTGGGAGGGGGGCTGGGGGGGTCCAGCCCTGCTTAAACTTGCCATGAGAAGTCAAAGGTCATTCCAGAAGCTGCTTGCTGCGTGAATATTTCAGTGCCGGAGGTCGCGGGACCCCCGGAGGCTGAGTGGTCCGTGAGAGTGCCTATCTCTCCTGCAGTGCTGAATGTAGGACGCCATGCTTGGAGCTCTGTAACCCTGTAGGTACTGAAAGTGTTGATTGTTTATTTTTGTTGTTGATTATAATTACGCTTTTGTGTTTTTTATATACGTTTGTACTTGCAGGTCATTTGGAAGCTGTACAGCTGTTGTAGTACTTTCATGGCTTTCATGGCTTCATGAGATCTGTTTCCTGGAGCATTTGGGACTTTTCACAGTGGGAGAATTGGATTGGATCATCCCAAACATATATATTGTTGCTCATATGTCCGTTTCTGTCCGTTTTCCATTTTTTGACATAATTTGAAAAAGGAAGTTCCCCTTCATGTTGTGTCAAAATGTCATGATGAGCCGACCAGCAGAAATGGTCCAAAATTACTTCCATTTTTACTTCCATTAAAAGTGTGTTTTTTCTTGTCCTCTTGTTTACACACTCCTGAGCAAAAAATGGGCCAAAATATAGTGTTTTTTCTGATGGTTTTGCTGGTCAGAGTCCAGATTTAAACCCTATAGTGAATATTTGGTCTCACATTAAACACAAACCAGCTCAGCAGTGTTTCCAGCTGTTTGAAGCCGTCAGTGCTGAGTGGATCAATACTGACTCTTCTTTCTGTAAAAGACTGTCTGAATAAATTCACACACTAAACTACAACACTTAGAGAAATCAGTGAAAAGCTGTTCACACTGACTGACTGCAGCTGTTTATGTATTGATTTGTTGTTAAGACCATTAAAAGCTTAGTGTTTTGCCATTTTCCCAGGAGTGTGTATTTAGTGCGTATATAGAAGCCTGTTTTATTCAAACATCACTGTCACAGTGATGCACTGTCTTGCCATGAAATATGATTGTATAATCATTTCTTCACTAGCGCCCTCATGAGATTTACTATAGTGTTAGCACCATGCTAGCAACGGTGTACTTTCACTTTCCAACAAAAGGTTGAGCTTCAGTCATAATAACTATTAACTAAAACCAAAATATAAATATAAAATCATATCGGCTGTTTATCAGAAATTCAAGCCCCCTCAAATCGGTACCAGACACAGAACATTCGTTTGTACTGTGAGTTGCAGTTTTACAGTGAATTCTTGACTAAATGTATCAGATTACATCCTCACTCCATCACCTCTTGGGATGGAGGGTCAGGGCCCTCGGACAGGGGTACACTCTAAAAGAGGGTTCTTCAGTGGTTATGTAGTAAAGCCAGTGGTTCTATGTTGAATCATAAACACTCAGAGAACCATCTGTGTGCTTAAATGGTTTTTTTCATGGTGAAATGGTTCTTCAGACTGATGGAGAATGAGTTGTAACCTCTTACAGAGAAAAGCAGTTCTGTTAGCTAACGATAGCATTTCATAGCATTTCACTAGCTAGCTTGTTTTGCTGTGCTAATGATCGTACTCCAGACGGTGAAGGAGGATGGACTAGAGGAACTTGGGGGTGGGGTTAGAGCTGAAATCCAGCACCAGAAGTTTTAAGGCTTTTACACACCGAACACCAAAAACAGCATGAAAAGGCGAAAATATTCAGACGCCTTTTTTTTTTTTGCATGTTGTCGTTTTTGAACTTCTTTGTTTTTCGCAACTTGAAAAAAATAGGCATAACATCTGTATCAATCCAGAAAATTACTTTTGGCAGAATATATTTCAAAACGCCCTTCAAAACGCTCCTCATAAAACAGACAGACTGTGACAGTGCAGGATTCTCCACTGTGGAACAGCGATAGGAGAACAGAGTTTCTCCTCATGCAGGAGCTGAAACTGTACGAGCTCTTCCACTCACAGCTGTGAGTCTGAGCAGATTTTGGAGCTCCACACGAGACGAAGCTCAAAACAAACAGGCTGCAAAAATGATCTGATTCTTTGCTCCCAGCAGAGCAGACAGACGGGGACGCTGAGCTACTGACCGTTTGGGAAAAGTGAAAGTGGCGTGACGAGCTTCATCTCCTCATTCAGAAGCTGAATGAGTTCTTCCACATTTAACTGGATGTTTGTAGCTCAGTTTGAGCTGTTCTTGGAGATTCTGGTCCTTTTAGCTTTTGTGTAAAAGTTCTATTTGTTGCTCAGTCTTCTTGGTTGTCATCATGCCAACAGCAGAGGCAGCCATGATTGGTCAGTGAGTTTTGGCGCTGGCGAATATTCGCAGAAATTGAACAGAGGGCGAATAAAATAACATCACATTTTCGCTGCCTGTGCAAGATATCATCAGCTACACGTGATCGAATGTATTTACTGTCGTCCGAATAAATCACACCAGTGTATCGGCGTGTAACGGCCTGTACAGTTCTCCGTCTCTCTGTGTCACGTCTGTGACTAATTATAAACAAACCAGCGCAAACCTGGACCACATCGTGAAAAACAATAATACGTGTCTGGACTGTACCTAATTTTAGGACTGATACTGTAGGGCAACTATCTAAGTCTTCATTCTATCATTGGGAGACCATGAGTTCGATCCCCAATTATGCCACAGTCGTCCATAACCAGGCGCCGTATTACAGAAACGTCCTCTTTTTAATCTTAAGATCTGACAGGTCAAGATTTCTCACACGTTCGTATTGCAGAATCAAATCTGATCTTAATTTAGAAATTTTATCTTATCTTACAGCCTCTAATCTCCAGTTAGGAAATCTTAACTTACTTGATCAAAGTCAACGATCGACTGTCATGTCTGTTTCCTAGCAACCGACCATAAACACACAGCTGAAACGTAAACACGTCATCAAAATAGTGTTAAAATGTGAGTTAAGCTGCTGATGTAAAAAAGGTCAAACAGAACTAAAGAGTGATAAGCTGTGAGTAGTGAATACTGTGAGAGCGCCCCCTGCTGTGTATCAGAGCGTCGCCGCTCCCCAGTTTCAGTCTCCATTTCCCAAACCCTTTAGCCGAGCGCGCTAACGTTACTCCTCCTAATAAACAGACACACGTTCAGCTCCGCCTCCTCATTATTCACCACCATCACTGTAATATTTCATCATCAACATTAACACACGAAGGTAAAAGTTCTGTTTGCTGCTCCATCATCTTGGTTGTCGTCATGCCAACAGCAGAGGCGACCATGATTGGTGAGTTTTTGTCACTGGTGAAACAGAGGGCGAATAAAATAACGTCACCCATGCAAGGCATCATCAGCTACACGTGTTTCAATTAGTTTGCCGTCGTCCGAATTAATCGCACAAACAAATTGTCGTGTAACGGCCTTTACAGCTCTCCGTTTCTCGTAACGTTTGTGAGATCACATCTGTGACTAGTTGTGAACAAACCAGTGCAAACGTGGACCACATTGTGAAAAACAGCATTGAGTGAAACTCTCAGACGCTCCAGGAAACAGAGTTTGGGATGTGAAACACTTTGAGTCACCTTTTTGTACAGTTCACTGTGGGTAGCGTGTGTGTTCTGCTGTGTCGTGTTGGCTTCTGCACACACACACTCACACTCGCGTCCCGCGCATTCAGAGACGGTGGACTGTGGAACAGAACTAACAGAAGAACCGGCTTACGAAGAGATCGAGGCTCGTTCTGAATCTGATTCTGTTCAGACTGAATTCTGGCTCAGGATGAAATGGATCAAAAACTGGACTAGATGACTGAACACTAGTGGAACTACAGAGAGAGAAATATATATAAATATATAAATATATATAAAAGATATATACATTGTATTTGAAATTCACTCATTAAGCCTGTGTAAATACAAATGTATCACTTCTCGTCTTCTCAGATATTACAGACAAATGTTAACAGATATTTTTGATTAAGCCAGTTACCACGGTTACGAAATCAGTGTTGCGTCTGAATCTGGGTTTGCAGTGGATGATTTGGGTGGTGAAATCAGTGAAGAGGAAGATTTTTATCGTTTGATTTTTTTAGATGAACATTCTCATGTCATGTCTTAATGGTTTGGGCTTTAAATGTTTGGACATTGTTATTGTACGTGTTTTCTATACTGTACTTGCCAAGATAAACCCATCAATCACATATAAACTATCTACCAATGACAAACGTGCTCGTGTCCTTATTCCAAAGCCTGTTTGGATGGTGTGCACTGTCTGCTAGAGCTCCGACTGTCAGATATTTTCATTTTCTCAAATATTTCAATATTCTATAAGAATAACAAAAGCTAAAAATGTTACTGAATGGAAAAAGAATATTTTGTCTCATTGTTGCTGTTATTATTGATGTATTACCATTTTTATTGGTGTGGTAACACTTTATTTGGACAGCCCACTGTAAATCTTCCCACAACCCAAAACCTAAACCTCATCCTCACCCTGGTCCTAATCCTAACCTGAATACAGCTGAGAAAGACTGACATTCGTCTGATAGTTTGTTCATAAATTGAATGTATCGTCACTGTCCAAAGGAAAACATCTACATTTTTGTTGACTTATTTTATACATAATTTGACCACAGCAGTTCTCCTTTACATTGTGTGAAAATTCCATGATGACTGGACCAATAGAAATGCCCCAAAATCAGTTCAAATAAAATCTCTTTACATTAACTTTCATTAAAGGTTAAGGGTGTTTTTGCCGTCTCCTGTAAAGTTACCATTTTGGACACTGTTCTTTGGACAGCGACGATGTACAGATAATCTATTGGAGGCCGTCCACGTCAGCCGAGACTGTTATTGTGATTTTGCACTGTTGCATAAGTTCAGTTTCAATTTATTTAGATTTTTTACACTTATTACTATAAGATAATAAAAATACTGTGAGAGCGCCCCCTGCTGTTTATCAGAGTGTCTCCATCTCCAGTTTCAGTCTCCATTTCCCAAACGCTTTAGCCGAGCGCGCTAACGTTACTCCTCCTAATAAACAGACACACGTTCAGCTCCGTCTCCTCATTATTCACCACCATCACTGTAATATTTCATCATCAACATTAACACACGAAGGTGATCAGAGGGGCGGTGGAGATCGAGTCTGCAGCGTCTGAGATCTTTAAAACGCAGAGTTAGAAAAGAAAATCATCTCACAGTGAAAGCAGCGTTTTACAGTAGGAATAAATGGAGCTCATTATGCTGGAAGTCGTAGAGCACCAAATAATACAGTCTTGTAGACTCAGACCAACTGCATGACTCATTATGAAGAGAACAGAATTCGTCCCTTTAACTGGATTTAGTGACAGATACTGAATATAAGTCACCGTTCACAGTAATTTTTAGTATTTTTTTAAATGTAGCACTACTGGCTCTTTTCCTCTGATCAGATGTCTGAAAATAAATATGGGACATATTGCGCATCATGAAAAGTACCCGGATATTTTTTTGCCGTATCTTCCAGCTCTAGTGAGCTCCTTCACTCACAGCTCTGATCTCAGAGCGAATAAGATCCTTCACTCCTCACAGAGCGAGTGGACGGTCACTCTGGGCTTCTGTCCACTCTAGAAAAGTGAAAGTAGCGTTAAGAGCTTCATCACGTCATCCAGACGCTGGAACGCTGAGTTCTTCCACACAGACTGGAACTCAGACGTTTGAGGTCATTTGTAGATTCTGATCCTTTTAGCGTTTAAGAAAAGGTTCTGTTTGCTGGAACAGCTGCTCCGGCATCTTAGTTGTCGTCATGCCAACAGCAGAGATGACCACGGGCAGAAGTTTGAAAAAGAGACTAAAATAATAAAATAATGTATTTTAATGATACTCAGTTAAACACGCTCGAGTTAATTTACTGTCATCTGAATAAATCACACGAATAAACAGCGTTCAGGGTGTAACGGCCTTTATTCTTCTCTTTTTTCTCTTCTTCTTTTTTCTCTTAAAATATTTTTCTTTTTTATCTTCTCATATTTTCCTCTTCTTCTTTCTCCTCCCTTTTCCTCTTTTTTGTCCTCATTTTTTTTATTCTCGTCTTCACTACATTTTTTCTCCTCTTCTATTATTTTTTTATTTTTTCTCTTCCTTTTTCCTCTTCTTTTTTCTCATTTTTTTCCTTTTTTTGTCATATTTTCCTTTCTTTTCTCTTTCATTTTTGTCTCTTCTCACTTTTTTCTCTTCTCATTTTTTCTCTTCTCTCCTTTTCTCATTTTTCTCTCATCTCTTCACTTCTCTTCTCTTGTCCTCATGTTTTCTTTATTCTTCTCCCCATGTCCACTCTGAGCTGTGCTGAGATCAGAGGAGCTGAGGAGGAGCTGGTGAGGAGGTTTGGGACTCGTCCAGACTGAGAGATTCCTCTGCTCTGTCTGTTGTTCAGCGTTACTGTGTCGTGTCGTCCATATTGCTCACAGATGCTGCGGAGGAATGTTGGAGATGTTTGAGGTCACGTCCTGTTGTGTGGAGCAGCTCCACATTGTTCTGTGAGATCTGGACCAGAGGAGCTCCGGCTCCTGATCTGGAGATGTTAGCGCTATGTTCGGTATAAAGCCGTGTCCCAAACGGCACACGTGCAGTCCTGCAGTCCTAGAGGGCGCTCTCAAGCACCCTTTATGTCCCTTATTTTAGAGGTCCTGATGATCATCTCTTTCCTGGTCTCTCCTCTCCTGTTTTCTCATTTCCTTTTCTCCTTTTCTCTTGTTTTCCCCTCTGTGTCCGTTTGGCTCTGTGGACCCACACTGAGAACAGAGGAGCTGGTGAGGAGGTTTGGGACGCGTCCAGGCCGAGAGATTCCTCTGTAGTCTGTTGTGGCTGTGTTGTGTCGGCCGTATTGCCCACAGATGCTGTGGAGGAATGTTGGAGATGTTTGATGTCACTTCCTGTGGAGTGGAGCAGCTCCGCTCTGTTATGCACTCGTGTTCAAACGCGAAACAGATTTCATACAAGCACCAGCAGCGCGAATGCACGCAACTGTGCACCTGAATCTCGTTTGTGTTTGTAATATTAATAAACATTTTTTTGTTTTATTATTGAACAGAAAACAAGATGCAGAATGACGGCATAGATACAAACAACAAATGTTCTCCCCCTCCCACCCCCAGCCTCTTTGCATGGTGAAATGGTTCTTCAGGTTGATGGAAAATGTTGCATATAGAACTTTCTTGAAAACAGTTCTATACAGCAACAAAAAGGGTTCTTCAATTGCGACAAGTTTGACATTGTAACAATAGCAGAACCCTTTTTGGTGCTATATAGAACCATTTTCAAAAAGGTTCTATATAGAACCACATACAACACATACATTCTCCATCAATCTGAAGAACCATTTCACCGTGCAGAGAGTTTAAACGTATAAATGGTCCTCTCAGTTTAAAATTCTCAACATCATTTTGGTTCTTATCACCTGAATTGGTTCACTGCGCCCCATAATCTCACTGCCTTGTACACAATCTTGTAAACTTGACTTTATAGTGGGTGGCTGTGATTTGCCAGAAAACATATACACGAGTCCAATACTCTGATGTCCAGCTTATTGACCTGTCAGATCTTAACTAAGACTGAAGCCATGGAGTTTGGAGTGTATTTCACAAAGCAGCTCAATAAGCTCAAAAACAGGATTGTCCAGCAGGAATGTCCCTAATGCCGAGTGCATGCTGCATGGTTTTAGCCCTGATTTTCCGCTGGCAGACAAATTTTTGGGATCTTTGACGAAATCCCTCAGCTTGGCGACTAATCCACTTGTGTCGTGTGAGCCGATTTTGAAGCATGCCTGAAATTGTTGGCGATAAATCACGCAGACAACAAGAGAAAACTTTTGGGGAGCAATCAGAACAGCAGTGGTGGTGAAGGGGTTACTGGTTGGCGCAGGAGACGGCCCTCCTCCACAATGCTGGAGTAATTATATAGGACATAAAGAGAAAATAATATCAGGCCCAGAACTGATACCTGAGGCACCCCACAGGTGAGAGCCACAGTACAGGACATCACGCCACCAGTAGACACTGTAGAGTGTTTATTAAATCACAGTCACAGACAGACCCAGATACACCAACCCTCTGCCTGAGTTTCTTAATCAGAATATCATGGTCACTAATGTCAACGGCTGCACTAATATCTAATAAAACCAGATCAAAACCTCCGCAGAGTCAGAGTACAATAAAATATGGTTTGGAAGTGACGGAAGGGCCGTCTCAGCGCTATCCTTCAGGCAAAAACAGACTGAACATTTTGAAAAATGCTAACAAGCATTTTTAGCGTGGTGCTAACATGCTTAAATCATCACACACCTGTTTTTTTATCACACGCTTATATATATATATATATATATATATATATATATATATATGATATATATATATATATAATTTGTTTATTTATTTATATATATACATATATATATAAACGTGTGATAAATATATATATATATATATTTTTGGAAGTGTCCAGTGAATGCAGTTCTATGTGTGACCACAGTGTGGCAGTAGAGATCCACAGAAAAGGCTGAATATCTCCACACATCTCTCTCTCTCTCTCTCTCTCTCTCTCTCTCTCTCTCTCTCTCTATTTCTCTCTCTCTCTCTGTCTCTGTCTCTCTCGCTCTCTCTCTGTTAGACGAGGGGAATCTGGCAAACACATCATCATGTTTGGTCCTTGTTTTTGCGCTGTAGATTTGTAGGGGATTAGCGCAGATTAGCCCTGTTCACTTGTATTTAATACATCTGAAAAATGAGGGCAGGGATTTCACATGGCTAACAGCTCTCTTAGACTCAGTGTTCGTTCCTTTCCCTTCCACCAGGACTGTCTTTGTTTTATCTGTGTAGATGAAACTGTCTATAATCACACTGTAGTTCCATACACAGATGTGTTCATTTCATTTTGACAGTCATTATGATGTTACCTCACACACTGTGACGCACTTTTACGGCTTCACTGTAAACATGATGCTACAGAGAGTTTCTCTCTAAAAATTGTATCTCTAAGATGGCACAGAGACTTTTATTTTGTACCACTATTGTGCTCTGATTGTTACTAGGAGTTCATTATTACTGTAAAACAGTGCACTCCAGACAAATGAACCTACTCAGTGTGGTATACTGTGATAAACGAACCACAGAGCATCACGTCTACAGCAGCCAGTGAAGCTACACACCTCCTGCTTTTGTTTATGATGCTAACCTGGTGATACAAACCT